CCCACCCACCCATCCACCCATCTATCCACCCAGCCATCCATCCATCCATCCACCCACCCAACCACCCATCTATCCACCCAGCCATCCATCCATCCATCCACCCATATATCCGTATCTCCACCCACCCATCCACCCATCCATCATCCATCATCCATACACACATCGATCCATCCATTCTATCCAGCCAGCCTGACATGTGTCCATCTATCTGTCACCCATCTGTCTATTCATTCACCCAAAGCCATTTACCAAGCACCTGATTCTGGGCAAGACACACAACTCTGACCAGACATGGTACCCAGCCTCATGGCAAGGCAAGCCCATCAGTGACAACACCGTGAGGCCTAACTGCTGAACAGGTGGGTGCGCTGCTCTAGGGACAAGTGGCTCTACTTGAAGGGTGGGGAGAGAACAGGGGAACATTTCGCAAGTGGGCTGGGATTTGAGCTGAGCAACAGGAAGCTGAGAAAAATTAAACAAAAGCAAGCAGAGTGGGGTGAGGCTGTTCTGGGCAGAGAGGGCAGCAAGAGCAAAGCCTGGAGTCATAAGGATGGTGAGCATGTACTGGGACCAGAAAAGGCTGGGCAGCTGGGAGAGAGGTCCTAGCAGGAGAAGGGAGACAGGTTGGGGCCGCAGGGCAGAGAGCTAAAGGGTCTAGACTTTACTTGGTGGGCAGCAGGGAGCCACACACAGCAATCATCCGAATATCCCCGGTCGGGACACCCGTACGGCCTCCCTACCCTTCCTGCCACACTTCCTCCAACCAGTTCCAGGAGATCTGAAGACTAAGCTCAGCTGCATGTTGTCCGCATGCTCAACCTTCTTCCTGGGACACATTCATCTCTGCCCCTCCCCTCCCAGGAGACCCTGGACCGTGGGGGAGAGGTCCCAGGGCAGCCCAGCAGGGGGGAAATCCCTAGCTTGGGACCTTGGAAACCAAGAGACCCGGGTTTTTGCCACCGCCTGCCACTCCCTTGCTAGGTGGCTCAGGGCAGGATGCTTTTCACAGAGGCCTGAGGTTCCCCCCACCCCAGCAAGGGGGCAAGATGAACAGAGGAGGGAAAATGTTCTCCGAGGTCCTGCGTTGCTAGAACTCCCGTTTATTTGCTCACGTGGCTCCAGAAACACGTGGCTCAGTGCGTCACCAGCAGCTCTGCGGCAGTTAGCTCTGGCCCCAGCGCCAGGCCTGGGTCTTGCGGGGCGCTGGGGGGCAGACCGCAGGAAGCTCTGGGGACACAGTCCCTGAGAAAGCTGGCCCCCGCTGCAGACAGCCCAGGCCGACTGCAAAGGTACCTAGGAAGGAGCGACCAGAGGTGCAGGTGGCGCCCAGGGCAGCAGGGTGACTCTGCAGACGCAGGGAGTGTTCCCTTCTAGAAGGATGAATGCCCCCGAGAGGTCCAGCCAACTGAAGGCTGAAAGGCATCCTTGACATTCAGCTGCACGGGGGCTGTCGCTACCCCCAGCCAGAGCTGGCCTGCCGGAGGGCAGGGACAGAGGCCTGACTCGGGCTCTCGCCCCGCCACGGCCCCGGGGGGCTTTCAGCAACACAGAGACTTGCAGCTCAGCTCCGGCAGCAGCGAGACAGGGTCAAGCTCCCCGGGGGTTCTGACCCTTGGCCACAGCAATGCAGCTGTATTTTTCCAACTTCCCTCCAAAGATCACGGAGGAAACGAGATTACCACCCAGCTTTCTGTGCTGGTCCCCTGCAGCCTGATCTTGCAGCACTGGCCCGGGACCCAGAAATTTGTATTTTTCACCAGTATTCAGGCGAGAGGGAGGCTGTCTGCATTCGCCGCTTTTGTGTTCCTCGGTTCGCTTTGCTTTTCCTTTTGGGATGAGGGGAACTGAAACATGTGCAGAGAGGCAGGCCCCAGGCGAGCCGGTGAGGGTGACCAGGTGCGGGAGTGCAGACAGAGCAGGAGGAGGTGGACTGGCTGGGGGGGGGGGGGGGGGGGCGGGGGGGGGGGGGGGGGGGGGGCGGGGGGGGGGGGCAGGAGGGGGCAGGTGGCGATGCACGAGATATGGCAGTAACAAGAGGACGAGGGGCCCCTCTTCTCTGTGAAGTGGAGGAGGGTGGGTGGGACAGGGAGAGGACTGGTTATGGCAAGTGGGAAGGTTCTGGAATGGCAGGGGAGCCGAGGAGAAGACTGGAGCCGGGGTGCTGGCAGTGGGCCCCCAGCAATGCCCGAGGCACAGCAGTGGGCAGCAGGTGCGGGTCCAGAGAAAGGGGTGAGCTGGGCTCACGCAGGGCTGGGGGTTCAAAGCACCAGCCGTGGCTTCGGTGCTGGCGGGCGAGGGGCGGGGGGGGCGGAAGGGGAGCGAGGAAGGCCGCGGCCGAGTGGAGGACAGGCCAGTGGCGCACCAGGGGAAGGGGGAACCAAGCTGGACCTCCAGACGGAGGCGAGGGCGGAGACGTGAGCAGAGCTGCACAGGAGCGCCTGAGAGCCACAGGGCCACTCCCCAGAGCCGACGCTACTCACACTCCAGGAGCTCGGGCCTGGACTTGGCTAAGAAGGTCTCCAGCACCTTGGCCTTGAGGGCCGCCGCATTCGGCTGCGCGGTGGTGGCTTTGCCTACACCTGGGTGAGGACACAGAGAGCCGTTTTCAGAACAAACTCAGAGTGGACACCCCACACTGCCCCCTGCCCACACTAACTCACTCTCCAGGCCGGGCTGCTTTAGATCCTGCAACTGCTCCGGGGCTCCGAAGGTGGGCATCTTGGTGGTTGAGGCAGAGGCAGGGGCTGGCAATGAGGAGGAGAAACATGAACTGGACCCATGACACAGTGACCAGATGGCCTGTCGTCCCTTCCACACTGATCTTCAAGCGCTACTTCTGCAAACACACCCCTGGACAGCCGGAGCGATACAGCTGAGTCCAGACAGGGCTACACTCATTATTCGTCTTACTCACGCGCACCCGTGCTCACCCCCAACCTCAGGCCCACCTGCCACGATAGAACATCATCACAGAACTCGGGCCCCATCACAGAACCCCGACCAGAGAGGTCAGGCTTCGCTGCCAGCATTTAGTTCCACACTTGGGCAATCTCAAGAAACAAAAGGAGGCACAAATGCGTAACTTACAAGGTTTCTTGGGTCTCTTTTCTTCTTCTGAAAAAGAAAATTTTCAGAATTAAGATATTCTGAAGCACAGCACAATGACACTTTCAAAACACCGTAATAGAGGTGCCTGGGTGCCTTGGTTAAGCGTCTACCTTCAGCTCAGGCCATGATCTCAGGGTCCTGGGATTGGGCTCCCTGCTCAGTGGGGAGGCTGCTTCTCTGGCTCCCTCTGCCCCTCCCCCTGCTCATGCTCTTGCACTCTCCCACTCTCTCTCTCTCAAATAAATAAATAAAATCTTTTTTAAAAACCACCATAATAATAATTTGCATGAATGTGACCCATACAAATAAAGCGAGGATGTTTTCCCTGGAAACAAGCAAATGAATCTATGGTGACAGAAACCTGCATCAGTGGTTTTGGGGGTTGGGACTGATAATGAGGAGCATGAAAGAATTTTCTGGGGTAATTCTTTAATTTGATTTGGTAACACACACATACACACTTGTCAAAATTAACCTAACTGCACATTTAAGATCTGTACATTTTACTATAGGTAAATTATATCTCTATAAAAGAAAAAACACAAAAAACAAAAAGGGAGTCAGCAAAGAACTGTGCTTGCCGAATATCACAACAGTCTTTAAAAACTATCTGGAGTGTGTGCCTATGAAAACTGAGTTTACCTAAAGCAGAGTCTCCAACCAGCAGCATCAGCATTGCTAGGGAATCCGTAGGAAATGCAAACTCTTGGATCCCACCCAAGACCCTGCTGACTCTGACAGTCCGGGGCTGGGGCCCAGCGACCTGTGTCTTATACACCCCTGGTGAGTCTGAAACGTACTCAAGTCTACGTGAGCTAGAAGATTTCAGGTTCCCTCCGCCACCTTCCCCACCACCGGAGTGGAAAGGGGTGTTGTGAATCCTATCCCTGCCCGCAGACAAACCCTGCTCTCCTATCACCCTCCACTTCCCCACCAGCCCCCACTCAGCCCCACATGACCCCCCTTGCTCCCCCTTCCTCCCACTTCCGAGTCCTATGTCCAGACGCTGTCTTCACTCTGGCCTCATCTCCTCTTCGCCCGCCCACTCCCACAGGACCAGCCTCTTGGGAGGACCCCGGGCTGTGTCGCTGGCCTAGGGCACGGTCCCCCTCCCTGGTCCTCACAGCCGTTCTGAGTCTCATCTGCACTGTGACTGGTCCACTCCTTCCCTGCCTGTTGCGCCACCGCAGCCACCATCCACAGCTCACTCGGGCTAAGAGCGGCGCTTGGCATCTGCGCCGGTGGCGAGAAAGCTCTCGGGGGAGTGTGATCGGAGAAGGACACAGGTGCACAGCGCTTGTTCACTGATTTTTCCCTTCCCTGGTCACACCAGAGGCCCTTCCACATCTGCCGGCTGAGCTGGGGGCTCCCTGCTCCATCCACACCAGGCACCCGGCTCCTGGCTCTCTACTCCGTTTGGAGACCGATACCACACATCTGTCCGCCAAAGACAGCCTAAACTCTAAAACCAAACAATAGCATGGACCCAGAGTTCCCGCATCCCCCAGGGGCAGCACTCCTCAGGGCACGCTGACTTTTCAGGGAAGTGATAACAGCCACAGGTCAGGGGCATATTTATGGGCTTTAAGGAGCTTCACAATGATCAGTGTCCCGTGGGAACCTCACTCATAAGAATCCCGTGAGGTCACCGTCGTTATGGTCCAAGTTTGACAGATGAGGAAACTGAGGACGATTCATCTCCCTGACCCCCACCTCAACAGCATATGCCTTCTCACCGTGTGGGTGGTATGCCCCCCTCAAGGGGCAAAAATGGATTCTTGGTGGAAGAGGGTGAAAAAAATCTTACTCTTTACATGTATGAAAGCATAATCTATAAAGAGACATAATGCATATGCGTGGTATTAAAATTTCACGGGTGAAGGCAATTAGGAAAACACTGTCTTCAGTGACTGGGGGGGGTGGTGGTAATAGAAGGACAATCATGGGAGGGGGTGAGGAAGTGCTGGGACAGAAGCACAGGATGGCTCAAGACGGAACAGCTCTGAGCCGCTCCTCCAGGGGGCGCTTTGCCCAAGTGCCAAAACTTCGGTGTCAGCAAGTATTTCTCAAGACAAGCGGGTGTTGGTAACCTTGCTGGCCCAGGCTGGCTGCACAGCCAGTGCTGCCGGGCAGGTCCTGCCAAGCACCCCAGGGAAGCCCCTGCGGCAGCCCCTCCAGCCTCCACTCAGTGCGACCGTGGCCAGACTCGTCTGTAGAGGCACTTGCCTCCCCTCCCCAACCACAGCCATTTGGGACGGGCTGGCGGGAGCCCCAGGAACAGCAGCGGGGTTACTTACTCAGGAACTTTTTCGAAAAGTGTATGGGTTTGGGCGTAGATGCTGGGCCATGCTCTCCAGGGTTCCCTGTGCCAAAGAAGAAAGGATTACTTTATGCAGCTCTTCCAAAGCAACCCCAGGGGCCAGCTTTGCCAGGGGCAGGCGAAGAGAGGGTCTACAAAGGTGATTTCCACTGACTTTCCCTACCCAATCCTTTATAAGAGCTAGAAACAAGGAGACAAAAAGACGAGTTTGGTGTGTCCCTCTTTTCTCTTAAAATGTAGCTGGGGTCAATTTTTTCTCCACCAGCGCCCCGCTCCATGACCTCTAAAGCCTCTCGGAGGTTCCGGTTCTTCCGGTGTCAACAGAAAAGGGACGAGCCCTTTGCTTGTGGCGATGAGGCCAAGAGGCCTCATTCCTCACCCTCCGGTTTTTCCATCACCCTTTCCCAGACCAGCAATCACTGATGTAGCAGGAAAACTACTATGTGTGGCCAATTCGTCAACAGCTGTACCCTCTACACAGAGCATGCCACGCCTGTTTCAGAGGCTTCTGCAAGGACACTCAGCTCGCCCAGCTGAGACTCAAGCCCCACCCCCGGGGGTTACACCGTAAGATTCACTATGTGCCAGGCTCTGGGCTAGGCAGTGGGGAGAGAGTGTTGGATGAAAAACACACTGAGCCCCTGCCCTCACAGAGACTGCAATCTAGTGGGGGAAGAACAAAATGACAGATAGGCAAAGGCTCCCAAGGGGTGATAAGGGTCCTGGGACCTAGTCTGAGGAGTGGGAGTGGTGGTGACAGGGGAGGTTTGCTGAGAAATACAATGTTTCAACTGATCTCTGAAGGGTGAGAGGAGTGAACTGGTAAGGATGGTGGAGTCTCTGAGCCTTCTGGTCAGTGGGAACGGTACATACAAAGGCCCTGTGGCAGGAAGCTTAGCATATGTGAGGAGCTGCATGCAGAAAGATGTGTGGGAGGAGGGGGCGCTTCAGGGCTGGTGAAACGGACAAGGCCTGACCAGGCAGGGGCTTGTAGAACAGTGGCAAGAGCGTGGTCTGAAATCTAAAAGCAATGGAAATTCTCTGAACAAGGTGAGGGGAGAAGGTCCCAGGAGATCAGATTCACACCCTGAAAAGCTCTCTCTGGATGCAGCAGGAGTAGATACAGAAGGACTAGCTAGAAAGCTGCCACAGGTGGGGGCAAGAGAAAGCAGGCAGGTGACGGCTGGCGGGGGTTGGGGCGGGGTGGACTGAGTCAGGAGAAATTTAAGAAGTAAAATCTGGTCATGGATTGGATACAGGAGGGAAGGAAAGAGGGTGTCAGAGAGGAATGCCAGGTTTCTCTGACCCCAAAACTAGCCATTCCCCACCAAATACACCGATAACCCGGAGTCTATTCAGAAGCCACCTGAGCCAGCCTCGAGATCACACACAAGAACAGACTGTCCAGAAAGCCCTGTCGTTAACATCAAGGTGCCCAGAAACGTTTTCGGAAGGATGGCTACAACTCAGGAGGTTTCCCCGTGACCTCCCAGATGGAGGGCAGATATGTCAGGACCCCTGCAACTCAAGCCCCAGTGTTCTGGATCAAGACCCTTCCCCCTACCCCCAAACACTGAGGGGACCCCTCCCATTTAGGGGTCCCAGTAGGGGAGCTCGGGGTTTGCTAACGGTTACCTGAGCCAGTGGGTTCCTCGGGCTTCTTGTCCTGGGACTGCCTGATATACCGCTTCAGCTCGTCTTTGAGGTCTGAGGTGCCCTGACAGACACCCTTTATCAGCTCCTGATTCAGCTCCACCTTGGGGACGTAGACTGGCTTTGTGGAGACACCTTGCAGTTTTATCCCTTTCTGAAACAAGCCAGGGTGTTAGTTCAGGCAGCTCCAGGGAAGCCAGGGCCCGGACTGAGGCCTCATGAACCCCAGGAGGAGCTTCCCTGTGCCCACGGATGCTCAGTCCGATCACAGGCCAGAGACTGCGGGGGGCTAACGTGCCACTTTCGGTCATAGCTCTCTGGATCTGGAAGGGCCCTCAGAGGCCACTCACCTACCAAGGGAGAATCTGAAGTCAAGAAATAACACGTGAGGAAAGGCAAAGGGAAAGGAAAGGGAAAGGGAAAGGGAAAGCAAAGGAAAAGGAAAGGGAAAGGGAAAGGAAAGGAAAGCAAAGGAAAAGGAAAGGGAAAGGGAAAGGAAAGGAAGGGAAAGGAAAAGGAAAGGGAAGGGAAAGGGAAAGGAAAGGGAAGGGAAAAGGAAAGGGAAAGGAAAGGGGAAGGGAAGGGGAAGGAAAGGGGAAGGGAAGGGGAAGGAAAGGGAAAGGGAAAGGGAAAGGAAAGGGAAAGGGAAAGGAAAGAAAGAAAGAAAAGAAAAAAGGGGCACCTAGGTGGCTCAGTCGTTAAGCGTCTGCCTTC